GTTTAATATGATTTTATCATTGGAAATTGGAAATCGAGAAAATCTCCGGTACTAAAAATTGCATGAACCTGAAGTAGGATATTTGCAGAAAATAATGTGATGCGCGTGTAGTGTGCAAGATGGCGAAGGATAAGTTATAGGTTGTAAATTTTTATCGAGTGTTACAAGAATATTTATGGTTTTCTCTGTTGTCTCACCATATAAAAATTCAATTAAACGTATTCATTGAATATCATTGAACCGAGGGATACACAACATCTATAAGAGGAAAACAACGGAACAACAGAAACACTGAACTGCAACAAAAACAAACGCCAACATACATAGAAACGGACTATTTGATAACAACTGTCATATTCCTGATTTGGAACAAGACATTTTAAGAAAAAATGGTGGGTTGAACCTGGTTTTATGGCTAGCCAAACCTCCCGCTTATATGGCAATGTAAAAAAACCCCGCTAAGATGACAACACTACGTGACAGCAATACAGTATAAACAAACGCAAGAACTCAAACCACAAACGATAAGGCACAACACAATATCAAACCGTACTTACAAAAGAAACATCATTACTAAATACATGAATGTTGGATGTATAAATACCGAAACACGTCGTATAGCAATGCGAATTCACACTCGGCAAAACAGTCATATTCGGGAATAGGTCACGTTTGGTACTTAGCAGACAGACGACGTAGATGGTAAACCACAATCTAAGACGTGGTACAAATGTCGTTAATTAGTTTAGACACAGACACATCGTATAGATCAACCAATTCGTGATGGTGTCCATGAAATTTACGGAGTGTCATTTTTAATCTTTCCTCCTCATAACTCTGTTGGAGCAGTTTCTACGCAAGGAGCACACTCCTGTATATGAAGTCCGTATAGTGTGAACATGCACGAGCATAACGTATCAATTGAGATGTGTACACACCATACGACGGAGCAGAGGGTATGTTACTGCTGAGAAATGGGAAATTGATACTTGGGAAGTTGAAATCATCCTGTTTGTCGTAGACATTTGTTTATCATCTTAATAACGTGTTATAGTGTTCTTTTATTTGTCTTTGTAAATTATTACTTTTACTGTTAAGTCTATTTTTTGGTAATATCCATTTGACGTGGCTCGGTACTTATACATTCCGTCATTGTGTTATTGTGCTATGGTAAATTTTTGTATTCTCGTCTTTCGTTTTTGCTTTGTGCTTTGTCTATATGCCTTTTATTTTTTCTTTGTTGACATATTTGTTTGTTTTTATAGTGATCAAGATTACAACACAATGTTGACTGCTGTACCCCTGTTTTTTTTTTACATTTTTACCTATTTTATAGAAATAAGAAGACGTGGTATGATTGCCAATGAGACAACTCTCCATCCAAGTCACAATGTGTAAAAGTAAACAATTATAGGTCAAAGTACGGCCTTCAACAAGGAGCTTTGGCTCACACCGAACAACATGCTATAAAGGACCCCAAAATGCCTAGTGTAAAACAATTCAAACAGGAAAACCAACGGTCTAATCTATATAAAACGAGAAACACTTAAGGACCACATCAACAAAAGACAACCACTGAAACAGGTTCCTGACTTAGGACAGGTGCAAACAAATGCAGCAGGTTTAACTCAATCAAAAAGGCATATTAACCAAAACAAGTAAACATACACTGAACGAATAAATTTGATCTATGACACAATGTCAAAAAGACAACTATAACCTTGGACAAAATGGCGTTAAATAAAATAACGTACACAGGTAAATTTGAATATAATAATTTTGTTGTTTTTTACAAAATAAATAAATTTGTTGTTCATAGTACGAGAACAGCAGTGAAAATTTATCGTCATACTAAATACTAAAAAAAATAGTGAGACGAGATCTAACACAAAATAAGTAAACATTGAATAACAAAAATGCATTATAAATTGTATGCCAGGTCAAAATAACACGAAAGTACGATTTGAGATTACTCGCAGGTACTGAAAGCTAGTTAAAAGCCAAAAACAATTAATAATAAAAACTCATGCACCAGAGACTAAAATCAACTAAAACACGTGCCATGGAGTTAGTGTTTTAACGCCATGGACAGTCAAAGAAGACATGACTTGTGCAATGCCAAAATAAAAGTATCGACAGGCAGTAGGAAAGTTTGGATTTAACCTTATAATAAATATGTATAATGTTATATATAGATAAAGCAATCTCTATATGGAAAATGAACGTGGAAGTGTATTTATACATCCCAAAAACCATTCGAAAAGAATATAAATTTAGTTATGTTGACAAAATCGATATTTGTGCAAATGTAAACAATATTCAAAGATATTATGTCTGTTTATTTTGTTCACACATTGTTCTCAATATAATGGAATTTTATGCGACTGTCATTCAAGTGAGAGGTTTAGCTAGCTATAAAACCAGGTTTAATCCACCATTTTCTACATAAGAAAATGTCTGTACCAAGTCATGAATATGACAGTTGTTATCCATTCGTTTGATGTGTTTGAGCTCTTGATTTTGCCATTTGATCAGGAACTTTACGTTTTGAATTTTCTTTGGAGTTCAGTATTATTTTTTTTTTCATTACGCCAGAATAGGATATTTTTTCCGATCAAAGCCATCTTACACCCCCCCCCCCCCCCCCCCTTTTTCCAAATCCGTTGTTAAAAATTTATAAAATATTTTGGCACTTGACATTCAGTAAACACTTAGAAGTAAACCTCAATAAAATTGCAGATAAAAACTTTTCAGTTTACTTTTATTAAAGAAATTTATGATTTTCAAGCCTAGCATGTTTATATACATGTTTAAGCCGGGGTCACACATTCAAGATTTTTACTGCCGTCCTTGCTAGGACCATTCCCGATTAAAATTTGTCGAAAGTCTGATCAAGATCCAGTGAATCGCGGCTGGAAATTCAAACTTTAATAAAAATTTGTAAAAACATTTATTTAATCACGACAAAACTCAGATATTGTTCAGGCAGTGTCCAGATTCAGCCGATTCTGATTCGATTTGTATCTTTCGCATGGAAAAAGACGACCGAATATGTCCCGAAAGCGTCCATATTCTGCCGATCCGACAGAGTTCAGACAGTGACCAGAGAGTAAGCCGCAGCTGACGGAAGATATCCGTTAGAAAACCGTTTCATGTGATAGTCCCGTCCTATAAAACAATCGCCAAATTCGGGATGATCAGGTACTATTGGAACGCAATTCTATCACAATATGCTGTACCGTTTTGCAAACGGCTTTGTCTGGACTCCGTCGTATCGTGTTTTGTAATTGTCGGGACTCCGACATGGGTATTATTGCCGAATTATGTATTAATAACGGGACTGTTCCGGAAAAAAGACGGTTCGCATTCGGAAAGATCTGGATGCAATCCGGACTCAATCGGCAAAAAAACAGCAATGACAAATTTCTCCAGATCATGCCCGTTCCATAGGACACCGTCCAGAAAACACAGAACATTGTTAAGATTTTGATCCGATACAGCAGAATCTGTCACGACATAGTCACAATTATAATCCGACTAGACAAAATCGGCTGAGTTTCCCCGAATGTTACGGGACGCACCTAACTGTGGGGGGTGATTGGCCGACCTCTCCGGACCATTCCCTACTCGTAGAAATCCGGCACTGTGTGAACGGCGCATTAGCCAGCGGCCCTCTCATGAAATACTATTAAAATTGATTGTAACTAAAACTGAAATATTCATGGCTTGCGAGTATTTTTACTCTTCAGAGTCGCGAGGTTTTCTTTTCTTTCTTTTTATTTGTTTTAACGCAGCAAAACCCGTAAAAGAGGGACGAAAGATACCAGAGGGACAGTCAAACTCATAGATCGAAAACAAACTGACAACGTCATGGCCAAAAATAAAAAGACAAACAGACAAATAATAGTACAGATGACACAACATAGAAAACTAAAGACTAAGCAACACGAACCCCACCAAAAACTGGGGGTGATCTCAGGTGCTCCGGAAGGGTAAGCAGATCATGCTCCACATGTGGCACCCGTCGAGTTGCTTATGTTATTACAAATCCGGTAAATAGTCTAATTCGGTAAGTCACATTCGTGAAAAGGGAAGGGTATTGTAGTTACGACATAAGGAACATATCCGATATCATCTGTGAAACGGTTATTCCATAACGGTCAACCAACTCGTGATGGCGTCCGTAAAATTTACGAAGGGATGACTTCAACTTCACCATTTGGAACTCTTGGTTTAATAGCTTCCTTGTGAGCAGCAATCCTCTATCAAGGAAATCATGATAGGAAACACAAGCCCGGGAATATCGTATCAATTGGGAGATATATACTCCGTATGCAGGCGCTGCTGGAATGTTGCTACATAGAAATGGAAAGTTCACAATTGGGAAGCTGAAATCATCTCTTTTGTCGTAAAGTTTTGTTTTCAACCGACCCTCATTGTCAATTTCTAGATGTAAGTCAAGATATGAGGCAGACTTAACTGTATCTGTAGTATCCTTTATCTCTAGTTCGATGGGATAGATTCGTTCAACATAGTCACCAAATTTTGTATTATTTAGTGAGAGAACATCATCTACATGTTGTGAGAGAACATCATCTACATGTTGTGAGAGAACATCATCTACATGTTGTTGTAAAAACTGATATTTGTCATTTAGTGATATGGTCGTTAAATGTCATTTCCTTGACAATTAAGAACACATTCAGTTATTTCGGTATATTCCGTAATTACGGACTATGACGAGGTTCCAAAAAAAATTGATTGAACTCATGGATCGACATGACATGTCGAGTTAATTAACAGATACGTAACGATTGTGTGGCATCGCACTATAAACGTTTAAATTCGGTTTGTTGGAGTTCCTGTCAATATAATACTTCCATTGTTGCATCATGTTAAGGTATTACGTAGCTAATTATAGCAAGCCCCGGGTACGTGATCTGTCAATTCAGTTACCATAGACTAGAAAAAGCCTTCTAATTCTTTACAAATGATCTTACCTTTTCATTAAATGCTTCCGATCAGTTAATTTTCGCAATCTGTAACCTTGAGACGAACCTGTAAAAGACCAAGTAACATTAACGTACAATGTAATGTCATACTTCTGGTTAGGTGTTATACGCTAAAAATCCATTTTTGTCAAAATATGTACATGAAATAATTATAGTAGCCAGATTTAACAGTATTTGCTTACCTATTACCATTTATTTGTGTACGCAAGACGCGAGTTTCGTCTACAAAAGACTCATCAGCGACTATCGAAAAGATAAAAGGCCAAATAAAGTACGAAGTTGAAGAGCATTAAGGACCAAACATTCCGAAAGGATTCGCCAAATTCAGATAATGTTATTTAGTAGCAGACGATTCTGTCATTTTGAAACTGCTTTACATTCGTTTTAATTTCTTTGTTTAATACGCATCAATTTCTTGTTCGATTTGGCCTTCCATCTGTTTTCATTCGAGTGTCACTGCTGACAAGTCTAATTTAGACGGAACGCGTGTATGAGTAATGAAATTATAATATGAAAATAAGAAGATTTATTATGATTGCCAAAAAAACTCATCAAAGATACCACGCTTAAAATTTTGTACGCCAGCTGCGCTTTCGTCCACAAAAGACTCATCAGTGACGCTCGAATAAGGCCAAATAAAGTACGAAGCTGAAGCATTGAGGACCAAACATTCCGAAAGCATTCGCCAAATACAATTAATCTTATCTATACCTGGGCCAGAAAATCCTTAGTATTTTGAAAATTCAATGTTTTGCAAACAGTTCATTTATAAACATTACCATTTCAAAAATAATTCATGTCAAAACAGAAGTGCTAAATACTGGCTGGTGATACCCCCGGCGATGAAACCGACACCATCAGTGGCACCGACCAGTGGTGGTAGAAAAAACTCATTAAAGATACCAGGCTTATCATTTTGAACGCAAGACGCGAGTTTCGTCTACAATGATACATATTTCCAAGTGACGTAGAAGTTGGCAACTTGACTTGATATTAGCAACTACAGATTACCGTACGGCCTTCAACAATGCGCAAAACCAGGTATCTTTGATGATTTTTTTATAAAATGTTCAATCAAAATCTCATTAAGGCAATCAGTATGTATTTTAACACTTGAATGAAAAGTATGAATTGTTTTTAAAACTGTTCATTCTTGTGTACTGTCCACGTCGTTAATAACTTTTCAACAGCTCCATATTCGATAGCTGCAATTAGGAAGAACAATATACTGTCGGTAAATCATATCATTAGGTAATTATTTCAATTTCGAAAGGACAGGGCTAAATGTTTTTTCGTTAAAAGTCAACGTTTTGCATTTTTCTCTCCTTTAAACTTTCTCACCTTAATTCATCAATGTATAAACAGGACAGAAAATTCAAATTTTAAATTAAAGTCTGAGTTATACAATGTACTCTGTAACAATTCTATGTATTAGTGTTAGGCATGTTCCCAAGCAGATATTTAAGTTTATAAATTCAAAAATAGAAGGTTTGAGCTGTATGATTAAGATTGAGAAAGGAAATGGGGAATGTGTCAAAGAGACAACAACCCGACCGAAGAGCAGAAAACAGCCGAAGGCCACCAATGGGTCTTCAACACAGCGAGAAAATACCGCACCCGGAGGCTGGCCTCAGATGGCCCTAAACAAAAATGTGTACTAGTTCAGTGAAAATGGACGTCATACTAAACTTCAAAACATATAAATGAACTAAAATTCAAAAACATACTAATAAAGGCCAGAGGCTCCTGACTTGGGACAGGCGCAAAAATGCGGCGGGGTTAAACATGTTTTGTGAGGTCTCAACCCTCCCCTATACCTCTAGCCAATGTAGAATAAACAAACACACAGCAATTGTATAGTCAATTTAAATTCGTTGAATTAAGGTTCGTATAAAATAAGTTATCGTGATTGTGTTTTGAATGTAAGGAACGCTGATACTTGAAGATACGACGAACACAAACGCATTAAGAAATAAACATGATTAAATGTGTGTCTAATCATTAATATTAGGCAGGTATCTCTATACCTTTGTCGTATAGTTCTTTCATAATTATCAAGGGATTCAGTTAGAACAAAACTGATTATTATACCTCAGTATGTATTTTTTTTATAAAAGTATAGACGAATAAATTTTCTATCTATTACGAAATTCTCTGCTAATAAAAACTATTTACTAGGTATGAACTATTTACTGGAGGCAAATATTTTCCCATTAAAAGACCATTTACTGGTTAATAGGAATACCTAACAAGATATTAAATCAGAAATCCAAGTGGTGAAGTTGAAATCATCCCTTTGACAATTTTCGGACGCCATAACTAGTTAGATGACCGTTATAGAATATCTGTTTTACAGATGACCACGGATATGATCCAACTGTCGTTATATTTGCATGACGGATATGTTCCGACTGTCGTAACCACAATCCCATCCTCTTTTCCTCGAATGTGGGCTTTCAAATAAGACTTATCACCGGGTTTTTATTTACATGAGCAACACTATGGGTGTCACATCTGGAGCAGGATCTGTTTACCCTACTGGAGCACAAGAGATCACCCCAGATTTTCGGTTGGGTTGTGTGTTGCTCTGTCTGTAGTTTTTATTGTTGTGTTTTGTATAATGTTGTTTCTCTTTGTTTTTTTTTTGACATGGCAGTGTCAGTTTTTTTCAACTTATGAGTTTGAATATTCCTTTGGTATATTTTGCCTCTCCTTTAATAGTTTCAAAACCTGTTTACTCAAAGCAAACATTTCCCCCATACTGTCTGTATAATAATAATATTTATTGGCTATTCGGACAATAGCAAGTTTATTGTCCCCCTCGACACAAATACGTTCCCTCAGCTTTAAGTAAAATAAAAAAATAAGTGTATACTATTGCTAATCGATACAGTCACCATTATTCAAAATACTTACTCTTAACGTCATTTGAAAGAATCTTTAAGAAAATTGTTAATTCGTCACTTCTCTACAAAACAAAATCATTAAATCAAAAACATTACTGAATCTCAATAACTAAATCAATGCAAAATTGAACGAATAGCCTAAGAAACCAGCAAAAACACGTTTTCTGTAGGTGAAATAAGGAGGTTTGCAGCATGAAACAACTGCAATATGTCAACATTGGAACGTTGAATCAGTATATTTAAAAAAGAAAACATGAATGTATTCCAACGCCAAAGTTCAGTAATAAAAACATATTGGATGGAAAATTTAGACTGGCAAACGAAATCACACGACTCACAGGGAAGACTTATCCTGGTTTACACACCTCACGGGACTGGTAAAGGAAAAGAAAATAATAAAAACATAGTCAGAATCTTGCGTAAACGGAATAAGAAGTACACTCAGCTTTTAATAATTTCAAATGGACGGGTAGTAAAATGATTTAAAAATAATTATTATAAAAATCAGGGAGGGATGGGGGTTTAATTTCAGTTCCCAAATTTTCCTGCCACCTTCAACCTGCAACTGAATCAGATAACAACAGGGAAAGGAACTAACTGTGTATTAAACATTTCTCCAACATAAAGTCAAAGAGTGATGCCGCTTTTTATAGTACCGCCTAGTTTGCCAAAAAATCATTTTTGATAAAAATTAGCATATTCACTTTATCGAAGGGTTTCAACAAATAACTCTCAAAATTTGCGAGAAACTTTAACTAGTCCTCGGGCTTTATATTATCATAAAATATAACCAAGTATTGTCTAACCTAGAAATAATTTGCTTTGGTCTAACGAACGACGAAAAATATAGCGTTTTTGCTTTAATTACGTTCATTTTAGTAACGAAAATGACAAGAAACATATATGCTCATTCATATAAATTCCCACATGTACAACGGTTTAAAGTTTTCATCTTGAATAACGATTTTCGTCAATACTGTCTCTTTAACTTCGTATTTACGTTCACTGAGATATAAGACACACATTAGGTTCAATCCAATAATATACACGAAATGTAATATATCCTTGAGAAAATGAATTTATTATTGATGGAAATCGTTGATACTTCCTCTTTTAATTTCATGAGTTAAAGATTTTAATTTTTAAAGTGAAGAAACAAACAAGATATTCATTCAAAAGCGATGAACATATAACTATTGCATATCAAAACTACTTAAAGCTCTCAGAAGACCGTTGCAGGTCCTTTTTCAGAGACAGATAATACTTTAATCGACCAATAAATACAAACCTTTATTGTACAAAGGAAGGTTCTAAACTAGCAGTGTAAAAACCTATTTTTTCAGTTCTTTCACATTCTTCGCTATGTTCGATAAAAGTTAGGCAAATAAAGTGATGCAAATCGTGAATGATGTTTCCTGTCTTATATTTCTTTTTAGCACTGTCAAATTTATGTTTTCATTTATTTTTATATTTAAAAGAAATAGTATTGCCAGCGTTTGAACAGGACTACAAACGTCAACAGAAGTGAAAAGACGAAAAAAAATGAATGTCTTGTATTCGTCAATCAGTCTTAGTTTCGTTTCATTACAAAATAATTTATGTGTACTTTCTCCTACTTTAAATTGATAAGCGCATGAGGATGAAGGTCTTCATATTGTAGGGACACAATAAATGAATTATTTTTCATTCAAATTCGGTTTACTTTACCTCTTCAAGATCTATGTCGTTGAGAATCCACTCCGGCAGACTGCTTAAAAAGTCATTCCATTCTGTTTTATTGATGTTCTTAGTTCGGAGTCCTTTTATTTCTGTTTTCATTTTTCTTGTAAAATCTTCTTCCTTGATGCATTGTAAACAAGCAAATAAACCACTTGACATCTGCGCCCAAACTGTGTTGAATTGACGTTCACTTAAATTGCCGTTTAATGTATCTTTTACCAATCTGTTTCTCATGACTTTTAAAGCGCAAAATGGGTCTATGCTAGTTTCTCCTCCACATCCATGTCTGCATATGAATATGTTATGCCATGAATGACTATCAACATTTTTCAACTTTTCTAAGGCATTTGAGTACAAATCATCAATATTAGCTATCAAATAACATCCTAATGATACATGAATATTATGTTCATCTAACTCCTTTGCAGAAAAATATTCTGGGCATCGTTTGTCGAGATCTTTACCTTCATGCGAATGCTTCCCATTATTAATTTCCTTGAAAAATCTATTCCAATCATATTCCATAATTGATTTATCAAAGGTTTTATTTTCACAAGAGCGGCATTCGAATGTTTTCTTGCGTTTATGGAACAAGTGATGTTTTTCTTTGTCTAAAAACTCCATTAAGTTTTCACACTCCACGGTTGCATAAAACTGCTGAATTATTTTCATTATAATGTTAGCGGCATATTTGTATGAAAGAATTGTTAATTTTATAAAACGATCATCTTCAATCCGCACTGGAGTTAAAGCATAAAGACAATCTAAATAAAAAGAAGACATATGTATAAAATTATATATCTGACTGTAAGCGTAAATAGAAATCGAGTATATTGCATTTCTTTTACTAGTACAACAAAAGTATCAAATATACCCTATCCGCTGATAATACAGACAGCATTAAAAGATGACAATGCAATGTTACATCTGTCGTAGTTTGCCAAGATAATTATATTTTTATATTGGTGTTGCTGACTAATTTTTGACATATTCTAACTTCTATCTCTTACCTCTACTTCGTTATCTTAAAAAATATATTTGGATGAACCAAAGTGGATTGTGAGTTTAAGTACAACGTCTAAATAATACTAAAAAGATTTTTAACAATTCTAATAAGATCCCTGAATTCAAAATGCCATCAATGATCTCTAAGCATAGCTGTTAGGACAATTTTGAATATAAGGAAAATTGTATCATAGTTTTAGATCAATACTGTCAAGAGTTTTGCCCCTTGAAAAAGTAAACTAAATGAAAAAGTTCAATGTAACTGGTATCACGTCTAAACAAATTAAAACAACTCGTTATAAATGGTATGCGTCCGAAGCGCTTTTGTGGATTTACCTTCATCAGGAACTCTCAAAGCCGAATATTTGAATGTCAAGGATGTATACGAACCGAAACAGTTAAAGAGTTATGTGATAAAAAAGGACCTAAAAATAGCATAATCCATCTAAGGTCAACTTTACCTGAGGGAGTTGAAACCTTAGTTTCTTTATGATTTAAAAATTTATAAAAAGACAATTTTATTCTTACTTTTCTGGTTTTTTTTTTTTATGAAATTTATAACAAAAGTTTAACTAAGCAAAATTTTGACCAGTTCGATTTACAACGCAGGTCAACCCTTTTACGCGTGTTATGCCCTAGGAAGTAGAAATTATATTGAAAATAACATTTTTTAAATGCCCTCATGAATACATTCCTGGGCAGATTTTATGAAAAAGTTAAAAAAAAAAAAACCATCGGGATTATTGCCCTTGGACATATGAAATATGTGCTGTTGTATGAGATATTGGAACGCTTTTATTTTTTATAATTTCATGATGTTCTTTAAGCTCTGAATAAGGATGTTATATTTCTGTGTGAAACAATGATATATACATGATATATGAAGGTTTCCATGTACAGTCCTGAAGTTATAATTGGGGAGAACTTCTTTCTGCACTTCTTTTTGTCTGTGCAATCATTTAACAAATATTTAATTCACATACTTTCCTCAAGTACTACTGAATATATTGCTTCATACTGTACTTTATGAGCAAGTGAACATATATGAGAGTTTGGTTCCAATCTCATACGGTTTTCTGTTTATTTATCATAAAAACTCCTTTGCTGTACTTTTTAAAATCTATTTTCATACCTTAGACATGGTAACAATTATTTCAAAGTTATTAGATTTTCTCCTCTCATTATATGTTAGCGCATATGCATTCTTAATGGAAATTTCGTGAAGAAAAATTCTAGAGTAATCCCGGAGATCCCTTTTAAAACTTTGACAGACTATCATTTGTTATTATGATCTGGGCCTTGGATAATGGATTCTTAAGATAGGGACCTACTCTTTATTACTAGCATATTTGACTAGATATTTAAGTCTGATTCCCACTTCCTCTACGGTTCAAGTGTTTTATAAGGATTTTTTTACTGCACTAAGGAGGAGGTATGATAAGAGCCATCATTTGGTCCTCGAAATTTCAAAAAAAAGAAAACATATTCGTGTTTTAAAACACGTTAATTGTATTCATATCTGAGTCAGTAGGTATAATCTGGAATCTTCTTTTGTAATAAGGTCACGTGTGATGTCACTTTGACGTTTTAAACTTGTGGAAGTTGACATATTTGACCTAAAATTGCCTTTTCGCGAATAAGTTTTGGAAAAAATTATATCACCAAAGTCTTTGCTGAAAAGATATTTTAAACACGTTAAAATCTTTGTAAAATACATATTTTAGCTAAATATGTTTCGGGAAAAGTCTTTGCTAATATTTATATATAAGGTACAACATATCAAAGTGAGTCTATTTTGACAGTTTTTAAAGAAAGCAAAGTTGAAATGGCATTTCAGCAAAACCACAACAATATTATGTTAACATACAAGAATATATGATTTAAAATTGAATGAGGGTAAAGTATCTTAAAATCAAGTATCAAGTATCCATCCAAAGTTCTGACTTTACATCAAGATAATTTATATAAAGATAAGAAGATGTGGTATGATTGTCAATGAGACAACCAACTCTCCACAAGAGACCAAATCACACAGAAATTAACAACTATAGGTCACCGTACGGCCTTCAACAATGAGTAAAACCCATACCGCATAGTCAGCTATAAAAGGCCCCGAAAATTTTTCGCCAAACCTATCAAGACGTAAAATATGAAATTATAAAAAAAAAGACGTTTTGTTTTACCTTTGAGTCTGTTTAACTGCATGTCTTCTGTCATTTTAGGTTCCAATAGCTGATTTCCCGCAAGTCTTATAACTGCCTAATAAATACACAGTAATTCTGAAATAACCATTTTATTCTACGAGAGCCAATGAGAAGAATACTGGGTAGAAAATCCAACATGTTTCAATCATGTTTTTACATAAAATGTTAAAATCATTCGAAAAATTTACGGTTTTCTTACTAACCTCAAGCCCCAATTTGTACTACCTTTTTCAATGTTAGTGTACACTGTTATTAGTCGAAATTAATGTGACTTTTCAACTATTTATATTCGAATGCATGAGAAGTCATATGTTAAAGACACTCGCATCTGGAACACTTTTAAAATAGACACCAAGTAACTTTGATGACTTATCACATGTTTGACTCAAATATTCCATAAACAAAATGTTTCTTGCCACTTGTGTTTCTAACAAAAAAAGCAAATTTGTGATCACTTTTGATACACACATGTGAACAAACCCACATATAACATGTGATTGAAATCATGTTTCAAAACAATTATGTCAAATATACTAGTGAATATATAAGTGCAAACGTGTAATTCATACTGTTCAAAAAGTTTCACATGCATACATGTGTGTACATGTGAGACTTTACACGTCAAACAGTTAAAACAGACTGACGTCTCATATGTGTCTACTTGTTTGTGTTCAATACAATGCATCATTCACAAATGAGTTACATGCATGTAACATGCATTGACATTTATTTGTTACTCGTTTATGCATTTCTATGTCAGTATAAAATGTAAAACCTTACCTACCGAACTCCAATGTAAATTCAATAAAGAGAAGTCCATAAAAACTGACAAAACCAAACGCACGACTTTATCAACTAGCGGAACGACTGGAAAACAACTGTCATATTCCTTACTCGATACAAACATTTTCTGATGAAAATAGAAGGTCAAACCTGATTTTATAGCTAGCTAAACCTCTCACTTGTATGGCAATTGTATGTAGTTCCGTTATATTGACAACATTGTGTTAGCAACCCAAACAGACATAATTGGTTAACAAGACAATTATTGGGAATCATCAGCCAAAATTGTGTAAACATACTTCATTGATATGCAACATAACGAAATTAAATAATAATTTAAACTTACATACAAGTTAATCAAACACAGACGCCAACAAAAATGGTTATGCAGTTGATGCTATAAATAATCTGGTACAGCACAGTAAAACATAGTGAAATATAATACATATCCCGATAAAGTACAAATTACAAAAACTAGTACCACATACATGTACAGCTACTAGTAGGTAAGAAATCGGAGTGTCGGTTTTATGCAAATATAAAACTAAGGAGATAAACGTTCATACTCATGCTCATAATTTCTTAAATATTGTGACGATACTTGTTTTATAAATAGCGATTTTGATAATTTCTGAAGTGTAAAATATGTTGTGAAGTCTTAGATAAGCTACGTTCTGGGGAAGGACGGTCTAGTTGGTTTGTCATTTCTACTTCATATACTACACTTTCAAATAATTTTATACGACGGAAATCGATGGTAAAAGTTGTCTTCCAATAAATCTTCAAAAAGAACCAAGGCAATATCAATCACCAGGAACTTTTGGTTTACAGTTTTCTCTAAAATACTTATGTTAATTTGAAATCTTGTCATTGTTAAACAGATGCATTATCCACTTGACAATAATCATAAATCTGTGTTACAATTTCGTCCTCTTTACCTCGATCGTGATGGCACCGAATGCGGCTGATCACCGGAATTTTACGCGCCATAAGTAACACCTAACACGACGGGTCCCAAAACAGGAGCCAGGACTTCTTAACAATCCAAATTCATTCTTAGTGTTTACGAAAGACCGCTAAATTTTCTCACAAATTTTATTCGAATGTGCTTATTGCTCATTGTTAATATTGTTAATATAACGGAACTATAAATAACTGTCATACAAGTGGGAGGTTTCGCAAGCTATAAAACCAGGTTTAACCCATCATTTTCTTCAGAAGATGCCTGTATCAAGTCAGGAGTATGACAGTTGTTTTTCATTTGTTCCGTTGATTGATAGCGTTTGATTTTGTCTGTTTTTATGGACTTCCCTTTTTTTAAATTGCCTTGGAGTTCGGTATTTTTGTTATTCTTTTTTTCTTTCACCGTATTAATTTGACAAAATGTATCAAAGTTACAATTTAAATCATCTTTTATAACTGGTCTACTGATGAAACATTGTAGCCCATCGCTAGTGAATGTTTGTTAATATGAACGTGCAGAGTAATGCAAATATTATTGCCATCAAAATCCAATGATTGACTTTCTTTTCCATGTGAAGATTGAATCGATATAAAACAAAGAGTTATCAGGAACACTAGTTATACCACATTCAACTAAGTTGTGGATGCTATAATGTTTTGATCCATCCGTCCGTCCGTTCGTTATCACTGCGATGCTGCAAGAGTAGAGCTTCGGGATCGATCGCGCGATCCTCTTAAAATTTGTTGAGTGTTTTTATCAATAGAAAAACTCGGTTGCGTTAGGTTGTCAGAAAAAAAATCCGAAAGGGCCACAAGTTACACGGATAATCAAATTAAATTTCAGGTTGAATGTAAATTAAGCATACACACTTCTGTAGGTAATTATGAAATTTGATATTGAATTACTCTTTAATACGCATTTTTTTCGAATTTACTTACCCGGCTTATGTCGTCCCAATATAATGTAAAATCTTTTGCAGAAAGTGTACCTGGGCATCTTTTCAAAATTATTTTTCTGTACTGATTGATACGCGTCAAATCTGCACTATTACTTTTTTCGGTTGCAAGCGGCAACTGCTTTCCAATCTTTAGATCAGTTAAGTTTCGTATTAAAATCATCAAAAGTCCCAAATCGAAGTCTGTTGATTTTGGGTGATCTCCTGTGAATAACAAAAACACGAACCAAAGAATTAAATGGTTGGCGTGCACAGAATGCTATTTAAACAATAAAAACGGCTATAATGAAAATATAAAGATATGATATGATAATAAAATTGAGAATGGAAATAGAGAATGTGTCAAAGAGACAACAACCCGACCAAAGAGCAGAAAACAATGATCAAATCATGGATGCGTAGATAATGCAGTTTTAAAATGTTGAAATCTCTCTTTAAAAACTTTACAACATAAAACAGGTTCCTTCTGGAAGAAAAATTGGTGGAAAATGACTAAGTTGTAATTACAGGAAAAATATTTATACACTTACTGATCTTTTATGTGAGAAGAAGATAATAATAAAGCAAAATCATTTGTTCAAACAGATTGACTACTGAAAAATTGGAAATGGTCGAACGTCATATTTCAAGTTTAATTTCCATGGTCAGTCCTACATCTATTCCCAAGAATTCGCATCAAAATTATGTTGGATATATCTGAACTCGTTTTCTACACCACTAAGGGAAACACATTATTTTCAAATTAAACTGTAACTCAATTTATAAATTGTTAGTTGATAAATACCACATTTTTGTTTGTTTCACTGATTCACATGTGGTAATTATTGCATTAATGAATTAATATTAAATACACATCATCAATCCAAACTTTATAAAAAAAGATATATTTAAAATGTATGTGTAATATGATATGAATATATGCATGTAAGAAGAGTTAAAGATACAATTTCTTTTTTTAAGTGGCAACACATAAGAAAGTATTGCTGTACTATATTAATTAAATTTAAAAAAAATAGTCAAACTGAAAAAAAAACTATAAATTATATGTTCTTATAAATCTTAGAATAGGTTATCAAAAAAATTGATTATATTTCGATTTTCAAATGAATGTAAAAGTAGTATGTAAAATTGAAGTTACTTTTCAATTTTCTTTATTCTTTTAAAAACATAATTTGTATAAATAATCGATGTTATTCTGTCCTTAAGGGCTTTCTGAAAAATCGAAAACCTCAAAACCTCTACACTTTTATACGCTCAGTTATTTGTTATAACATAATATTATTTGTCGCATAGTCAGCATGCTACGAGAGACTTATAGCTTTACTATGCGATTCATAACTGAGAACAGATGTGAATGTTCGCTCTCAAAGGCTTGAGATGTAGGACTATTGGTTGATGAAAGAGTTGTTATAAGATTTTCATACTCGAGGTTCCCATATTTCATTCTTTTGTTGCCACATTTTTGTTTTTTTATAGGCAGTGCGACTTTCGAACCTGCTATTCAATTTTACATAGAACCAAAACAATGACCGTCCTTCAAGAAATGCATTTTTTTTCTATTTACAATTTAGGTAAAGAACAACTAATTCGGGCCCGGTCACAACAGATCATTAATACCTGATTTTGTACTAACCAACTTCCGGGAACCAGTGCACTCTAATATGTAATTAAAGGTATGTTTTGAATAATAACTGCCACTTTACTTGAACTTAAGAGAAAGAAGCTATAAATGTCAGAAATTGCATAATTTAACATAGAAAGCAATGGGGCTTTGAATTAGTGGTTTCATCTCTGGAGTCTGTGGTCAGGGGGGACTACAAATTTTTTAAACATCTACCTAGACGGTCATGTAATATGATTTCTTTCTTTTAATAAGACATTTATGCTGCTTTTGGGGACTGTCTTGTATGTATCATTGCGTAAAACAGTTCTTTAAAGAAAGACTGACTCATTTTGACATTTTTCAAAGTCAAAGATAAATGTTGTAATGAATTGTTCTTGTTAAATGCAATTCCTCTGGGTTTGCTAAGAACATGATTGTTGTGTTAAGACCAGTTTTTTAAGTTCATAGTAAAAGTTGTTTTGATATCCAGTATAAGTTATTTATTAATCAGTTATTGGTCCATATTTTTTAAAATAAGCGTTCAAAACATTTTTTGATGAGCGATGCATAAAAACAACTTTTGATTTTTAAGGTAATTGCATTTGAAAATCAACTTTGATTTTTTCTTCTTCGGACATTACATAATTTTATTTCACATTGAGTTAAAAATCAATAAAAGCTTAAGCTAATGATACACGTAATAATGATTGTTTCATCATATATTTTTAATCTTAGAAGATAGCAAAATATATATCAAATTTGGTGTAAAAAAAAATTATTTCAAAATTCACCAAAATAATAACATTAAATTTCATGGCTTAATGTTTTATTTAACGTTTCGTCTACACTCATCAGTGACGCTCGAATCAAAATGTGAAAAAGGCAAACGAGAGGGATTATTTTAGTTTTGGAATTGAATCGTTGCGGTCGAAGATATGACCATTTTTCCTGAATAGGAATTAGAGTAATTGTTAATCAAAATGGTTTATTTTATCGAGGTTTGGGATGCGTTATTTCGTTGATGCGAGCAAACAGATTTTTTCAGTATTTTAAAAAACATTTTCTGTAAAAAGAAAGTTCAACAACTCTTTTTTGTTCATCTAATCAGATAATTTTTTGTCCACAACAATTGAACAAGAGAAAAGTCATAACTCCACTTTAAAAGAAAGAGAGTCCTGTCCTGATTTATTAGGATTTTAATTTATAAAAGTGATTGGAAGATATTGATGTTTACGCCATTTTTGTTTTCTATTGTTTTGTTTTTGGTTAAAATTTCAAAGTATTTAATCGCAAATGTTAGTCAATGGCCATATAATTCGTTTTAAATACATAATCAAGATGCATTTGATTCAAATGCTAGGTTAAAGTAATCCCAAATAAGCATTTAGTCAAGCTAGCTTCCACATAATTTAATGCAAATTTGAAAAGAAATACTATTCAACATATACATAAAAAAAATGTTTAATAAGAAGATGCTTCGGAGAAGACGTCTTTGAATTTAGTAATGCTATGAAATGTTGTACAGAGAGATCGACCATTTGAGACTATTTTATTCTAATAGACAACCCTGCAAGATCTATAATTTCGAACAAATATAGCGCAGAAGCCATCAACTAATTATGTGAAAAGGTGTCCGATGTGAACATTCTTGCTAAGCTCCAAATGTTAAAAAAAAATCTTAAGAGAAGGTTTAAAATTAGACTGTGTTTCGGTATATCGAGAAAAATGATCGTGACAGAATCCGTAACGGAGGTCACGCATTGCGATCAAGAAATGCAAGATCTGGAATCTGTAAGGTTTTTAACTTTTATCAAAGTTGACCGTGAAAGCTCAGGCAACGCGTTATTTATATCTTGAAAGCAATGCATGAAAAGACAAGATCTTATATGATTGTTCTTTGTTGAATGCCGTACGGTGACTGACCCTTAGTTGCCTACATCTACATCATTTGGTCACCTGGTGGATAGTTGTCTTATTGCCAATCACAACACATCTTCTTATTTTTTATATAAATCATCCGAAAATTATATTCTTTAACCCAATTGATGTATTTTGATAGTTTGAAGAATGTGATATCCTAATTAGAATGTTCATGAATGGTGTATTTTTTTTTGGGGGGGAAGGGGGGGGGGGGGATTTTTTCACCGCCTCATTTTCTTCATAACCTTAAAAAACCTCGATTGTAATGCAATACCTATTATATTCATACACAAGTACTACTTCTATGGTCATTTGCTGAAGGGGAAAATAAACAACAGATACTTTAAAAGTCTAGCGCTTTCATACTGCAAGGGATTTATCGATAATTCTGTTCAATCCTTTAGAAAAACATCTTTATTTTTTATGTTTATAAACACATATTTCTAAAAAGTCTGAATTCGCTGGTCTAGTTATGCACGCAGAGCAGACGACGTTTATCGTGTAGACACTTGCAACCTCGTTCAGTTTAGAGATAATGACTTGTCATTAGGTTTTTTCCCTCTTGGTTTGTATCTTCAAAAATATGTCTTTAATGTAAAGACATAGTCAGTTCCTTTTAGCTAAGCACGCATCACTAGTAATAACAGCTAACACTGTCAAACTCTAAGTTAAAGTAATATGTCCTGACTTTCGTCTTATCGTATCAGTCATTGTTTCCATTGTCACCATATAAATGTTTCGTGGCATTGAAACGTTTTAGGCTAACACAACAACAATTTAAACTAGGAGTTATTTGAATTATTTCAGGATATGTTGTTTGTATATATATGAAATTTCTTATACGCATTTTGAAGGTAATTTCAAAAATGTCAACCAACGGATATTTTTTTACACCGAGGATCAATCCAAAATGGCATACTAGTATAACACCTAGATAAAAATCCGAGCACAAATTGATATTCTCTAATTTTGTGATTTTGATGAGATTTTATACATGCGATTCAAAAATTGAACGCATTTATTTAACTATTGGCTTTCTCGGCCACAATGTATTTACCGGGTATAGCATATAAAATATATTTAATCCGTTATCATGTTGTCACGTCTTACATCAAGCAGCAATTAACCCGAAAGCTGGAACATTCAAAGAGAAGGTTTAGGAAACACAGTTAACTCATAACGGCATACCGAGTCACAGTTGAACGTATAATTGTGCTTCTAAATGCTGTAAATTCATGGTAACAATTCGGCTTCAATTTCCGACACATAAGGCAATAGTTGGAGTTTCTGGTAGATTGGGAAATGGCCGAAACCAGTTATTTAATCAATAACACAAATGATTCATAAAAGTATATATTTTTTTTATTTTTCTTAGTCGCCCCAAATATTTTATCTGTTTTATTCGTATTTGTAGTCGAAAAGGAGTAACAATATACATGTACTTATTGGTAATTTATATTACCAATAACTTATGATTAAAGCTGACACACCACATTTTTAGGGTTGTTATTTAAAAGGCAAAACTCCTGAAGATGGGTACATATAGGGTATGTTTGAAGGCAGTAATAATAAATTGTGGGAGACATTTCAAACACCATACCGGTAGATTTACATGGATAAAAAAAAATGGTTAATTGGAAAATATTAATTGTTACTAAGATTTACGAGGTTTGAACGCCGGTACTCTCATATTTTCTCTGATCGTTTAATACGACCTTATTGGCCCCTAAATGACTGATTTGAAAACATTTTTTAATAATAAACAAAATCCCGCAAAAGTGTTCCCTGAGGCAGGTTAGCATTTTCTATGGTTTTTATTCTGAAAATAACATATTACAACTGTTCTATTTAACTCTTATCGCCTTGAATAAGCTAAGTTAGACCGTACGGTGATCTATGGTTCCTTACATCAACATCATTTAGACTATGGTGGAAAGTTTTCTCTTTGACGTTCATACCACATCTCATTGTTTTTAATTTGTTTTTTTTAAGATCTGGTGACTTGTGAAACATTGTATTAGTATCAATTATATGTGTTAAAAATAAAGTGAATTCTCCAAAATAATTATTTACAAAAACCTTACACTTACCTTTTTTCGGAAAAAGAAGCAGCCAATCCTGTTGGGTGATGCGCATTTTATTCTTTAGTGTGAGTAAAGAATTATAATGTTTTATGAGGACAGTTTCTAAGTCGTTTGGATTTATCTTTTGGTCAAACTTCACTCTTACGGAAATCAAAGCAACACTATGCAGCAAGTGAACAGTTTTTAAATAGTTACATTCATCTTCAGTTATTAAAGCTGAAAAGATAGAGAACGTATTCCATAAAAAACAGGGTTTTTTCCAAATGTAGACTATTAACTTTTGCTTGCTATATAAATGACTACAATAAAGATTTCGTGAAAAATATGTTTGCAAATATGCACACGTAAAACCATTATGTTTTGTATATCCCAAAGCTTTAGTGAATACTTCATTATTTGATAAACTCTGATGATTTACGTTAATTTGTGGATTCAGTACTGTTTAATTGTGTCTTACATATTTGTTTTAGGGTTTCAACATTCTTATTTTAATGCCAAACGACTAAATACTGCAAAAAGCCCTACTAAGTATTTGATATCTTTTAAGTGATTTTTTCATACGAGTCAAGGGCTTATCCGAAAAAAATATTTTTCTACAAAATTTTAATGTGGGTAGGGTCTGGATAATTTTAAATTATACAAGTCGCTATTTGTAAAATGGCAAATTTTGCCTCAATATCTCCAATTATGCATATCTAAGCAGTCACAGTGACATTACCACTGACACTTCCGTAATAAAGTGTCAAGCTTACAAGGAAGGTATCAAACCAAGAATACCAAAAAGTGTAGTTGAAGTCATCCCTTTGAACATTTTACAGACGCCATTACGAGTTAGTTGACCGTTATGATGTATCTATTTCAGTGATAACGACGGATATTTTCCAATTGTCTTTACCATCCTCTTTTCCCCAAATGTGACATCACTGAATTAGACTTATAGACGATTTTGTACATAAACGAGCAACACATGTGGAGCAGGATTTGCTTACCCTTTCGGATCACCTGATATCAACACTGATTTTTAAAATAGAACAACTGAATCATATTTTAAATGATTTAAGAATTTCGTAATTTGTACAATTCCGAAGGCCAGATAATGGTTCTTATCCTAATTTTTTGCGGTTATATATCTGGATTTTTCATACCGATTCGGATTTTTTATTAGTTTTAAAATATTTTTTCATCTGCATCATAAATTATTCAGATAATAAAATGTATCAAAAATAAACTACAATTTAAAAGAATTTCAAAATGTTTTACAAAAAATGTTCTTAATTGAAATGTGTTTTTTTTTTTATAGATTATTGGAAATATACAATGCTTGCAGGGAAACCTTTTAATGCACAGCTTTGAAAGCAGCCATAAGTGATACACAACATTCAGAAAAAAAGTAATATGTGAAAATTGAAAATGATTTATTAACTAGAAACATGTACAAATAAATTTTTAATATCCCTTACTTGCATTGACATTAGCAATATATGTCCACAAAATTAACTAAAATTTCTCAAATTTTATTAATAACATACTAATTAATAATTGAAATTAGTTCTGAGGATATACTTTAGTCATGTGATCCTGAGATAAATATAAATTGATAACTATAAACAGTTAAATATGAATAGCACGTATTATAGTATAATGCAGATTTTTCCGTTTGATTTTATATCACAGATAAAAATAAATTGAACATCACCGTTTTACATGTAACCTGTATAAGAATGTTTTTTTGGCAGGTCGATTCAAAGTTTGTTTTGTTAATTTGATATTATTTTTTTGCTAAATGAAAGTTATAGAATTTAATGATGTAACCAGTTGTCAGAATTAACATGTCATACATGTAGCTTTAGATTTGATATTTTTATTTTTAGCTTAAGGTGGTACCCAACACCTTGACTAATATTAATTTGGCTCGTTTAATTTTCATAAAATTTTGACAAAATGTTTACTTTGACCCTTTGACAAAAATATAAAAATTTCAAAAAATTTGAACCAACCACTTTATCAGAAAAATTTCGTTGGTTATATAGCAGTTTGACAAACACTAAATTTGATCATTGAGAAGCTTAATATTTCCTTAACAATACAACGTAATTAAAACGTTTAGCTGATTTTTACAGAGTTATCTCCCTGTAGTGTTAGGTACCACCTTAATTGGTACTATAAAAAAGCGGCGAAAAATACTAAAGGGATATCCAAACTCACGAGTCAAAAATAAACTGACAACTCCATGGCAATAAACAAACTAAGGACTGAGCAACACGAACCCCACCAAAAACCAGGGTGTTCTCAAGTGCTGCGGTAGGGTAAGCAGATCCTGCTCAACATGTAGCACTCGTCGTGTGTCTCATGTAAGTACAAACCCAGTGATAAATCTAGTTCACATTCGAGGAAAAGAGGACGGGATTATGATTCGTGATGGCGTCCGTTAAATTTACGAAGGGATGATGTCAGCTTTACCACTTGGAACTCTTGGTTTAATAGCTTTCGTGTGAGCAGCAACCATCTATCAAGGAAATCATGATAGGAAATACAAGCCCTGGAATATCGTGTCAACTAGGAGATATATACCCAATATGCAGGCGCTGTTGGAATGTTGCTACATTAAAATGGAAAGTTCACAATAAGGAAGCTGAAATCATTTATTTTTTCGTTAAGTTCTGTTTATAACCGATCCTCTAGACGAAAGTCAGGATATGAGGCAGCCTCAATTGTATCTGTTGTATCCTTTTTCTCAAGTTCGACGGAATAGATACATTGAACATAATAACTTTGAACTATAAATTATTTAGTAAAAGGACATCATCTTAATGGCGGAAAGTGAAGTCAAAGGATAATGATATCTTCTTTTTATTCTTCTTAGACGCTCCTATATGAAGTCAGCCTCATATGAATAAAGGAAGAAGTCGGCAAGAAGAGAAACGTAATTATTTTCCATAGGAATGCCGATTGTTTTTTGAAAAACACGTCCTCCAAACGTTACAAATATGTTGTCAACAAATAAATCATGTATCTTGATAACGTTAGTTTCAGAAATTTGTTTTTTTAATCAGAGTGATATTTTACAAAGTAAGATATATTCCTCTCTAAGACAAGATACTTGTATAAATGTCTCTCCTCAACAAGGACATTTTTTGTCTTTATGAATAGGTTGATCATTACATTGACCTATTATTGAAAAATTTTAAGTTATGCGGCTTTCACGAATTACAGCTTTAACAAAGGTACTGTTGGACATTTACAAAATGTTACGTCTATACTTATAATTTCAAAATTATTGTGGTGATTACAGAAGTCCATGAAAGATCTTTTTCTATTCATGCTACATATTTGGAATATTACCAGGTGTAAAAAATAACGATTAAGGTCTAAAAAATTGCAAAAATAAAATAAAAAAATCAACTACCATTGAGACGTAAAAGACATCATTTTACTTATTTCTGTTGTTCTGACATTAAGCTTTAAAAAAGTGTTATTAATTATCCTTATTGGTAAATTATGAATATGAACGATGCATCAAATTGTACATGTACTTACGGGCACTCAAACATTTTCTACATGCAACAATACAAGAAAGATTGTCAATCCATTTTCCTTTCGTGGCTAGCAATATTATCAGTGCTGAAAAGAAATTTGGTAATTGATCGTATTGTAGAATGTAAATGTGATTTGCTTTCAGGGGCAGAGAAGGACTCAATATTTAGAGGCGGAGTTCATATTTATTCTATAATATGTTGAAAAACGGGAATTCCATAATCACTTTCAACTCGTTGTATTTTCTAGTACCATGCAAACAAAATATCGTGGTTTCATTATTCTAAATATTTTGATTACAATGTTCTATCCAAGAGAAAAGTATAGGTTTCCTAAAAGAAACTTTTTTTCAATCATGTAAAAGATAGAATTAAATTTGAATATCCAAGCCTTTTTAAAAAATATCTTCCGTGTTTGTGTATCTAGTTATGCACATGTATTGGTTATTGAACAATCAAGTTGGTATTCATTATAGTCACACATTATTTGATGGTTTATCCAAATACTTATCTAGTCTGTTATCCAACTGGGGAATGGTCTAAGATGTTACAAAATGATCTGTTAAGCGGAAGAAACCCAGTCTATATAAAGGGGGAAGGGAATGAAGAACTGCCTATAGATGATCAAATGATAAGTCTCATCAGTGACACTCGAATCAAAACAGTTGAAAGTCCAAATCAAATATGAAGTTGAAGAGCATTAAAAGCCGAAAATTCCCAAAAGTTGTGCCGAATAAGGCTAAGACAATCTATACTTAGGGGAAGAAAAACTATAGTGAATTAGTCAATAAATTATTTTTTGGAATAATCAAGGCATGTGGCTTAAATTTGAAACATACATAAATATATAGCTGTTAGTACTTCTTAAAAAGGCAAATTAAAAAAGAAAGTTGTTCAATGTACTCGATGTATTTTAATTGGTATATTTCAATAATGAAATTATACGTACTGAAGGTAACTGGTCGATGGAATCTACTATAGTATAATTTAGAGAACCAAATATGTTCCTTTTATAAGGTCTACCGATTTAGACGTTTTTTTCCATAAGGGAATAGACTGTTGTAATTGCACAAAATATGGTGTAATCTCTATTAGTATAAAACTTTTTATATTAAGTGTATTCAGCATTAAATATTTTTTGTGATGAGTTATATGTTATTGTTTTCATTTTTATCGTTTTAGCATCGAAATTAAGTGCTTTATGTAACTTAAACAGATTTTAAATAAGTATATATTTTGTTTGAAACATTCTTCAATGAGATCTTTAGTACCATTTTGTCGACGCGTATTGTCAAATATTAAAATATGAACATGTGCTATACTTGACAATGAGACACCTTTCCAACAGCTTCAAATGAATTGATATAAATGTATCATAATTAGTGTATGAATTATAGATATTCATTTCCAATTTTTTGGACATTAAATTGCGGTAAAATGACTATCATCGTACTGGTTTTTTTTTTTAATCGAACCATAACAATTCTAAGAAATATTGTTTAACTAAACGTAGTATTCGTAGACACACAAGTATACTCACTCGTAGTAATGGCGATTGAACTGATAACAGCAACGATTTGAAATGTCCTCTCACTACCTGAAAACAAAATTCGAACTTGACCAATTATATCATTTTATGCAAAATTACCTTACACATTCTAAGCTTTGCAATGTATTTACTATTACTAGGAAGATGACAATTTTTCTGTTTTGAAAGTTTAATCAGCAGTCAATATTCTGTACGTAGCAAGCAAAAAGGCTATAAACTTCGATTATTTTATTAAAGAAAAATTACTATTACACAAAATTCCAAAACGGTATGAGGTGCACATTATCCAATTAGAGAGAAAACAAGATTGACATTTTGTCATAATGTGGTCATTAATTGCTTACCGCAGGGTATGGTTTTTGCTCATTTTTGAAGGGTTTACTTTGGACTATAGTTGATAACATCCACGTCCATTGATCTCTCGTGGATAGCTGTTTCATTGGAAATCATACAACATCTCCTTACTTTTATATTGACAGAATGCCTATTTTCAATTTTCATTATCATTATAATTCTTCTTTTGATTTTTTGTTTTTATTATTTCGTAAAAACTGTGTTCTTTTGTCAATAAAAAAATTACGTATCCTTTATGTTAACCGTAAATAACTTTACTTCACTCACTAGAAGTCTCGAGTGCATATGTACATTCTGATACATAAATCTGAAACTATGTAAAACACTAACGGTCTTATATGATACTGCAAATTTAATGTTTTGGAGAAGTCAAACCAAAGTACTTACTTTTATACAATCTTGTGACTATTTCGGTATAATTCGTACTGTTTGAAATGTAAAACTCCGTGACTTCGTCTCTGAAAAATTACAGAATGTTAAACATACATTACTATTAAGTACTCAATACTTATTTAGAAAAATTTAGTAATTTCATACCTACACTACTAAATGAATTTTAGTCTTAAACTGTAATTTTGATCTTGACATCATCTAAAAAATCTGAACATAATTTTATATGACAAAAGTACACATATAGGTAATTAGACATTTATCTAATTTCAAAACTGCGTAGCCTCATGCACCATGCGGAATAAGCTATAGTAATGTGTATACATATGATCGTGCTATCCAATACTACAAATACAAAACCTGTAAACATACTTCATATGTAGCAGAATAAGATAAAGTTTCAGGTCCCAGCTGGATTTTTCTTACCTAACACAACCAACCTATCAACATCATTTTCAATAATTTTATCTTGAATTGAAAACAGTAACACGTACCAAATACTTGCTGAAAACATAATTTCAATAAATGAAAAGATCCAATTAAGAGAACTTAAACATTGGACGATTAGTAAGAAGAAGGAGGTTTCAATAAACATCAATGGTATAATAGAAAATGGCTAGAGTTTAAGTCTATCTGCCAGCTAAAAATCCTGTTTTCATTGATCTACGGGAATCCAAATTGGCTTCATAACTATATCAAGCCAACTTGTACAAGAATGATAAGAATACGATATCTACAAAAATGAAATGAAATTTTAGCGATTAATGCTCAACGAAGAAACTAATGTATGCCACTGTGATACCGATGGACGATCACTTATTCATATACTCAACGAATCAAAGCCGAGCATCTGGTGCTTTTTCAACCACTGAAAATAATATAAGATCTCCTTAATATCAACACTAAGTTCACTTACATTCATTCAACGGGTACAGTTAGAAATATAGCGATTGGTAAATAGAAATGCGCGGGAAATCAAGACTGGACAAAATTTCTTTCAATATTCAATAGGAGAATACTGTCGAATGAGGAAATATGCAACAAAATTCTACAAAGACAAACATTTAAATGTTCATATGTGTAGAATTAATGGGAATATTATTAATATACTTATCTTGGAACAATCTTAAAAAGTATAGCAACGAAAACATATATACCATGAATTAATATCAACACTAAGACCCTTAAAAGATGTCGTAACAGGATGCATGTTAACAAACAAGAAAAACAGTAGTAGATTTAAATGAAAATGGCAAAAAGTTCTCGAGTTGGTAAACAAGGAAATAACCAAAGCACAATTTCTGCATTAACAACTTAAACGGAGATAAAAACAAGAGTATGTGTCCATAGGGCACCATGGCCCGCTCGCACGATCTTGTTTTATGCTTAGTGTGTCAGATCCGAATTTGTCACTGATTGTAAAGGTTCATACCATAATGAACAATTGTTAGGTGTATGTGACCACAATTACATGGTAACCTACCTAAACACAAAACTTTAACCTAACCGCGCATCCTCGAAAACATATACAGTAAAAGTTGTCAGAAAAAAGGGAGTAGTAAACTTCTTAAATGGATTAAATATTGCAAAAGCAGTAGGCCCATACAATTTTCCCGAAAGAAATCTAGATTTACTTAAAATTGTCTTTTAAGAAGTTATGTATCTCTTCTGTCAACATTCTATTTACAAGGGCACCATATCACATATAGAAGGAGTCGGAAAATACCAACTTGTGTCCACTGTTTAAAAACAATTATAGACCTATCCCTACTAATCATATTCCGGTTTCAGGTATGTGTATTTCATATAAATCATACTTTCTATTCAAATTTGATGCAGCAAAAGAAAAGCATTGTCAGTGATAGACAGCAGGCCTTCGAAACATCTTAGATGCGGAATTCAATTTCTTAACGTAATTCATGATCGGACAAGTGTCATCGACAATCGGTAACATGTAGATTTCGAAAAGACATTTAACACGATGCCACGTGCAATACTGAAGTTTAATCCACTTACCTTTACGATTTCCTTATCTAACAAAGTAAAAGACAATTATAGATTTTAAACCTTTTTTCATAGAACCGAAATATGATATTTCAACTTTACCTTTAGATCCCGAATTAAAAGAAATGTGTGTTGGTTTTTCCTTAAAAATCTCGTAAGAATTAATAAAAAGTTAATCACTTACGTCATGTGTTGTATAGGCGAACACATCAAGTTATTAACCGTTCTATCAAAAAATTCAGCTTGGTGTATGCACGTATAATCTGGAAAAAAAATTGGTAAATCGGTAATAAAAAAATAATAAAATAATTTTACTTTTTTGTTTCATTTTCCTCATTTCTTTTTGCACACTTCATTTTGTGATTTAAAATCTATATTATCAACGCATCAGTCAACGTATGATGTATATTTGTATTAGATTCGGATGAAATATTTGTACGTAATTCCAATCTCAGTTTGGTTCTTGTTGGGCAATTGAGTGCAGGTTGTCTCCTGCAAAGCACTGCTCATTAGATCAATGTCATTGATTCATTTATAATTGTTCACATATTGTAATTAAGTGAACGTACGTATAATGCATATATCAAAACATTACTGTTAACAAGTTGTTCTTGCAATATTGTATGGGGAGAAGGATGACCAGACTTCCTCAACACAGAAGTCCTTTTTGCCTACTCTTCCAAAATATCTGGATTCATGTTGCTCAAGTTTTGTGTTTTTTTTTTCATAGTTTTGACTGTACTGTGTCTTATGCGTTTAATTCCTTCTGTCGTGTTTTCTAACATTTTTAACATACTTCTGAAAAGAAATAAGGAGATTAATTGAAAGATAAGAATGTTCTAGCGAGAGAATAGTTGAACTATGTTGTCAACAATTGTCGACAGAAGGTAACAGACCAATCTTGATTTTTATAAAAAAAAAACTTCTTGATTTCGGTCATTATCATTTTTAAAATTCTTTTTTTAACTAGACTGGAACGTTTGCAACTTGATGTGAAAGATATTCTTTTTTCGTTCAATATAAGTTGAATTATTTGAAAAAATCATGAAAGAAGGATTATATTTACGTTTTCCAGATAGATTTAAATACATGTATAATTTTTATTCGTATAAATGATTTTCATATTGCTTCGTTCATCCTTTTGACAATACTTGCCTGGCGATAATGTAAAATTTACACCGCAATGTTTTATGATACATGAGCAGTCCTCTTCAGATGGTATGCAATAGCAAAGATTGTTCGGTTTTGTAACAAAAATATAACTCTTCCTGTAATCACATTTACACATTCTATCTTTTCTTGTTGTACTTTCTTCAAATAACATTTGTCCTTCTTCTGAACATAACGATTTTTGTAGCAAGCAATCGCTAATTCTGTTTGGTATAAACTTTAACGGTTGATAACTGTTAATTGCGCATGGTTTTCTTGTAGGATATCTTCCAGCAATAACTAATTTATGCCCTAAATTATGAAAAAATGTCACATCAATTATACAAAAATAGTGTATTAAATAGACAGAAAAAAAAACACGTTGGAATACTGGTATTCAGAATCTCAAAATCGGTCAATTGAAAAAGCACTCAATTCAACGTCAACTTTAGTAATTTTATTCCTTCTTTTCGACCCCTTTTTCGTCACTGTATTGATATTCATGTTCCTGTTTATATTTGTTCTTTGCGATTTTAAAAATCTGATTAAAATAAGTTCTTTCTCTCTGCTACGTCGGATTTATTTGTCTCGACTTGTAAGCGACCTCAAATTTCACATTGACAGCGGACAATTCTCAAAGACAGACAAGCGCAAGGGTGTGCAATTGATATATCGAGATTAATATGACATATTTGTTGCTATTCAAGAAATGTCCTGCAAATATCTATAATACATTAATTACCAATGCTACTATTCATGAAAACGTTTAGCAGTTATTCTATAAATAGTCATTCAACTTCATATCGTTTACAATTACACAATAATTGCAAAAGCACATGAAATTTGATTAAATTTCGTAAAATTTTAAGGCTGCTCAAAAATGTAACTCGACACCTACGCCGCATGAGTAATCTTTCCTAATTATATAATCCAGAAAATCATTAACAACAAAGAATAACTCAGATTTATTATATAGATTTTCAAACAAACGCAATAAATTGAGCCAATGATTTATTTATTCATCTTCACATTAAACCTCTATGTATACCAGCTTTCTTTCCATTGCATTTCTAAATTGATTATTGTTAATATTTAGAAAATAAAAGCATTACATATTTTATTTGTTTGGATTGTAAACATTTCAAAGATGTACATGCATGCAATTTTTTTTATAAAAATACGTGATATACTATATTGAATATAAAAAAAGAGAAAATCCGAAAAGACAATAAAAAAAGACTACATCGTGGCTAAAAAACCGACGAAATGACAAAAAATAATAAAAAAAACACTAAATAGAAAATTAAAGATGGATAAACAACCGGGTTTCTCTTTGGAAGAAAAAATACGGTGATAAGTCGCGTTTGGTATTTTCAGAATCGAGGATAAGAAGACAGACTTGAGGTTACGAAATATGGAACATATAAATGGTCATATGTGACACAGCTATTCCATAAAGGTCAACCGAATCAAGATTGTGTCTGAAACTTTTGAAAGGATGACTTCAACTTTACCATTTGGAGCCTTTGATACAATGGCTTTCTAGTAAGCAGTAATCCTCTGCATTGTAATTCGTTATTGAAAACGCAAGCCCTAGAATTTTGTATCATCTCGTAGATATATACTCTATATGCAGGTGATAGAATAGAAATATAAAGTTCACAACGTCAAAACTTAAATCGTTTCTGTTACCATAAAGTTTAGTTCTTATCCGACCCTCATTTTCTATTTCTAGATGTAAATTAAAATATGAGGTAGACTTAATTGTAATTGTAGTATCCTTTATTTCAAGTTTAGTTAGCTATAAACTGATTTTAACTTCGATATTTACATTGCAGCATTGGTGTCCAGTTGGGTCGTAGAAAAATTTCACTTAAGAAAATTGTATTCATAGAAAGAACACAAGATCTAAAAATCGTCGATATATATATTGATTGCATGATCGATTGATTTTTTGATTTACGTCTAGTTGTTAATATTTCATGCATATAATAGACGAAAATCAGTTAAAAAATAAATCTAATAGGTAGGATTTGCAAAGTCGGTCGACCAAGATAATCTGAAAACTTTTACTGCCACTGGTAAAATATGGTATGTTAAATAAGGGTTGAAAGTTTGCGTTGCAGTAGGCCATATACGGACCCTTCAAAGGGGTGTTCTAATGGTACCTTCAAGTGCAGGCAGTTTGGTACTTTCCGAATACCAGCAATCAGATTTAACGTTTCCAATATTTTATGAATTAAGCTTGATAACTGATTTACAAATGCAGTCATTTTTACAACTTTTATTGCAAAGTTATAGCAAAAACTACATTTAAAGTCTTAACCCGATTGTGCACTAAAAAATTACTTGACTGTTGACTATTGTAATTCATATTGTACGATAATGTATAGAAATATGTACATGATGTAGATATGTTTATAAACTTGTATACTATTGTTGTCTAATTTGAAACACGGAACAGCATTTTGCTAAACACTCGTTTCTTAAGTTATTTGCAGTGTACCTGGTCTACCATAATCGTGTTTGGAACATCCTTCTACATAGCCTTTTGCTAATGTATAGTATAAACAAAAATATATTTCGGGATTCTCTGTGCAATTGCTTTTTGATCTGAGGTACCATTCTGATGCCGTCGGACATCTCAACTTGTATGATAAAACATCAGTAGGGACCTTAAAGTAAAAAAAAAATTATATAAATGTATCAATTATTTTACCATTGGACTAATTTTTTTTCAGAATGAAAAAGGACAAAGTTCATTATGTGCAGGAGATTGCAGACTTCATGTTGAAACTGTCTAGCTGCCATGGATTAGATTTTAAAATTTGTTTTAAACAAATTGAATATATGAATAGATGGTGACTTCGTGTATATATGTCATTTTCAATGCATTTGTATAAAAATGCTTAAACCTGTAATGTTAGTTCTTCTTTTTAAGTCAATAATTATGCTATGAATTCAAGTCCCAAAGCTCCTTCCTACAGTTAGCAATATTGTATATTTAGTTTGATATAATGGATACATAAAATCTGTGAAATAGACTTACCACAAACAATACTATACAGATTTGTAAACTCCTAATCATCGTCGATATTTTCTTCAAAACGTTTTCTGCAAGAATATTTGTAAAGACATTCATTTTGGCATAACAATCTGAAAATTTAACCATATAAACCTTATCAACGATAACATCAAAAAACAAAATGACCTAAGACAAACCGAACAAGATATTAACAAAATGAACATACCCGAGTCACAAAGAAAAGACACATCATTATGGAACGCCACAGCTGTCTTATGTGGAACTCTGATATTACGTTATATTATTAATTCGTATATTTTAACTAATTTGATTCGTTCAGGATTAGTCACATGTTAAACTATATTTTCGAAGGTAGAGAGAAAAGGCGGATAGCAAAAAGCATATTGCACAGCAAAAAGCATATTGCACGGTTATTTTTAGAATATCTAAAAACCGATATACTTTGTGACGTCATGTAATGAATTTCATGATATTGTTAAAAGTTTTATAAAAAAATATCTATGATCGATTATTTGAAGAAAAAAAATCTTCAAATATATAACATGTAAAAAGAAAAACATCAAAAAAGTAAATGAAATAACAACTAATCTGTTGTTATTGTCTAGGAGACAATATGATATCTATAAAATTACAACAAAATCAAATGACGATTTTGATACAAATATGGTCGGAAATTAATAATATAACAATTATAGCCTATTTATGAGGTCAATACAGGATATATCGACCCAAAGAAGTATATCGACCTCGGACTTCGTCCTCAGTCAATATACTTCTTTCAGGTCAATATATCCTTGTATCGACCTCCTACAAAGGCTATAATTGTATAATATTATTAATTCGTATTTTTTAACTAATTTGATTCGTTCAGAGATAGTCACATGTTAAACTATATTTTCGAAGGTAGAGAGAAAACGGCGGATAGCAAAAAGCATATTGCACACCAAAAAGCATATTGCACGGTTATTTTTAGAACATCTAAAAACCGATATACTTTGTGACGTTATGTAATAAATTTCATGATATTGTTAAAAGTTTTATAAAAAATATCTATGATCGATTATTTGAAGAAAAAAAATCTTCATATACATAAGATGTAAAAAAAAAAAGTAAATGAAATAACAACTTATATGTTGTTATTGTCTAGGAGACAATATGATATCTATAAAATTCCAACAAAATCAAAAAATCAAATCAGGATTTTGATACAAATATGGTCGGAAATTAATAATATAACAATTATAGCATATTGATGAGGTCAATACAGGATATATCGACCCAAAGAAGTATATCGACCTCGGACTTCGTCCTCAGTCAATATACTTCTTTCAGGTCAATATATCCTTGTATCGACCTCATACAAAGGCTATAATTGCATAATGTCGTTCTGTTATTACTTAATGATAGTTTGTCTTTACATAATATGATTTTGACATTACGTAATGATGTTTTGATATAACTCAATATGGAAAAGTCATTACTTATGATATTCCGATATTACTTGATATGGTTTCGTATTGACTTGATATAGTTTTGTCATTACTTATTATGGTTTTGTCATTACTCGATGTGGTTTCACCATTATTTGATGTGGTTGTGTCATTAGGCAATGTGGTTTTAACATTACTTGATGTGTATGTGACTTGACGTAATGTAGTTGTTTCATTACATGATGTGGTTTTGTTATTTCGTAATGATGATTTGCCAATTCTTTATATGGCTTTAACATTACGTAATGATGTTTCAAAATTTGACGATTTACACTACATGATGTGTTTGTTTCAGTATTTGATGTGGTCGTGTCATTCTTTGATGTGGTTATCCCATTACTACTACGAGGTAAAACCACGTGACCATTTTGGAAAAAATATGTTCTATTTTTAGACCGATTTCCATATGTCGTTTGTGTAATGCGCTTTGGATGAGTACCGCTATCCATTAAGTTAAAATTCAAATTAAAGTTCAAGTTGTTGTTCAGAGTTATTTGGTATGAAAAAAAGGAACGACAGACAAAAATAAGAAAAAAAGTACTAAAAAATTAACAGTAATTCGGACATATCCCAAACCATTTGGTCCTGCCGTTTGTTTCTTAGTTCTCAAATGGAAGCTGTAAATTAATAAATAAATTAAAGATTCTTATTAACCCTGTGTCTCGCCGGATAATTCTGCTGTCAGTGTAAAAGCGTAAATTAAATGTTGACTGACTGTACATTAACCGGTACACTCAACGGAGGAAAACATGTTTTTCTGTAGATACTTTTATCTTGATCTTGAAGAATAACTCCTATACAAGTTTTATAACAATTCATGGAGGTTTACAAATTTATCATGTCAAAACAGTTTAATTCGGTAATATTAAATGCATTAAAAAAACCTTATATAGAAATAAAGAAATGTGGTATGATTGCCAATGAGACAACTCTCAACCACATACCAAATTTCGAGTTGAACTTCGAGTTTGAGTTAAGTTCCGAATTACAATTGGACTTCAACTTTAAATTTGAGTCACCTTTTGGCGTAGAGTTCGAGGTAAACCCTTATTTGAGTCTCATCTAGATTAAGATTAAGAGTTGAAATTCGAGTTATCTAATATGAGTTCTATTTTTTTTATCGTGGATCAAGGGCTTTTGTTCGAGCTTCCGAAAAGAGGGTTCAGGGGTAGGTATGCGTACAAAAGATAAACAATTTTACAGCATACAAAACACAACATAGAAATTGAAATAAAGTTAGATGTGGTGTGATTGCCAATGAGAAAATTATCCACCATAGTTTAAATGCAGTGGATGCAAGCAATCATAAGCAACCTACAGCCTTCAATACACCGTATAGTCGGCTACAAAAGACCACCACGTGAAAATGTGAAACAATTCAAACGAGAAAACTAATGGTCTAGTTTATAGCTAAACAATCTACGAATAAACAGCTGCCCCATGAGCGCATGATACGCCCGTCGTCTTGTGTGTGAATTTGTATGCAATAATCATAAATAGTTTCTGACATACGTCGCGACATGCGAAAACCCCCCTTTAAAAAAAAAACAAAAAATCAATATCTTTAAAATAACATTTTGAATCAAAACCAAAAAGTATACAGATCTTAAGATTAATATAACTAAGAAGTGTGTAAAATTTCAAGCAATAATCATAAATCGTTTTTGAGATACGGCGCGACATGTGAAAACCCCCTTTAAAAAAAAAAAAAAAATCAATAACTCTAAAATAAAATTTTGAATCAAATCCAAAAAGTATACAGATCTTAAGATTAATATAACTAAGAAGTGTGTAAAATTTTAAGCAATAATCATAAATCGTTTTTGAGATACGGCGCGACATGTGAAAACCCCCCTTTTAAAAAAAAAACAAAAAATCAATATCTCTAAAATAAAATTTTGAATCAAAATCAAAAAGTGTACGGATCTTTAGATTAATATAACTAAGAAGTGTATAAAATTTTAAGCAATAATCATAAATCGTTTTTGAGATACGGCGCGACATGTGAAAACCCCCCTTTTAAAAAAAAAACAAAAAATCAATATCTCTAAAATAAAATTTTGAATCAAAATCAAAAAGTGTACGGATCTTTAGATTAATATAACTAAGAAGTGTATAAAATTTTAAGCAATAATCATAAATCGTTTTTGAGATACGGCGCGACATGTGAAAAACCCCTCCCCCTTTTTTTACAAAATACTCAACAACTCAAAAATAAAATTTTGAATCATCACCAAAAAGTGTACAGATCTTAAGATTAATATAACTAAGAAGTGTGTAAAGTTTTAAGCAATAATCATAAATCGTTTTTGAGATACGGCGCGACATGTGAAAAACCCCTCCCCCTTTTTTTACAAAATACTCAACAACTCAAAAATAAAATTTTGAATCATCACCAAAAAGTGTACAGATCTTAAGATTAATATAACTAAGAAGTGTGTAAAGTTTTAAGCAATAATCATAAATTGTTTTTGAGATACCGCGCGACATGTGAAAAAAAGAGACACACCTGTTTTAGTTACTAAGTCCCGTAACTCAAAAAGTTTTAATTTTATTTTCACAAAAAAGTATACAGAGAGTTTGACCATCATTAGAAACAACTATGTTAAGTTTCATGAAATTTGGATAAGTCGTTCTCAAGTTATGGTGCGACCTGTTTACGCCGGACAGACCGTGACGGACAGACGGACAGACGACATTTGTATACCATAATAAAAACAAATATGACACACATGAAACAACGACAACCATTGAACTACAGGTTCCTGACTTGGGGCAGGCATTTAAAGAAAGTGCACGCGGCGGAGTTTAACATTTATGTAAGCGCTAATCCCTATCCTAACCTAGTGTATCATAGCACAGCATAAGAAGAAAATGTAAAGACAGTTTTGATTGGCTCAACTAAATAGATCAGTATGACTGGGTAACATAAATCCATCAGCGTGATCTCGTGTGCTTTGGAAGGGTAAGCGGATTCTGCTTAACTTGTGGCACCCGTCGTGTTATTCGTGAAAGTACAAACTCAGTGATTTGGTTTTTTGGCAGTTTACATTCGAGGAAAAGATGACGGGATTGTGATTACGACAACTGGAACCTATTCGTCGTCACCTGTGAAACAGATATTTCAAAAAGTTTTTTTTCAATTAGTGCGTGGTATATCAGAAACTGCAATTAATAAAAAAAAGTTTAATATTCATATGTTCAAATGAACATACACGCTAAAAAAAAAACCTGGAGAATTCTTATTTTATAGAATTAATGCTTTGTTGCGACAATAATGTAGCGACAGTGAGATACAACAAACCTATATGCCGTCGTCGGTAGTATCGTCGGTGTCTTCATCATTTAGGTTGTTAGGTTTCTAGTTTAAACTGTTTTTATATTTTTCATTTCGAGACCTGTTTAAACTTACTATGTGGTATGAATTTTGCTCATTCTTAAAGACCATACAGTCACACATATATGTTAACTTCTACGTCATTTGGTATGTGGTTGAGAGTTGTCTCATTGGCAATCATACCACATTTTTTTTATTTCTATGTAAGGTTTTTTTTTGGCATTGAATATTACCGAATTAAACTATTTTGACATGATAAATTTGTAAACCTCCATGAATTGTTATAAAACGTGTATAGGAGTTATTCTTCAGGACCAAGATAAAGCAGTGTTCCTTGGAATCATTTACGAATTTATTATAATACTGCTTCCATTTGAGAACTAAGGAAAAACCGGCAAGTGGTTTTGGGATATCCCCCTTATGTCCGAATTACTGTAAATGTTTTAGTACTTTTTTTCTTATTTTTGTCTGTCGTTCCTCTTTTTCATACCAAATAACTATGAACAACAACTTGAACTTTAATTTGAACTTTAACTTAATGGATAGCGGTACTCATCCAAAGCGCATTACACAAACGACATATGGAAATCGGTCTAAAAATAGAACATATTTTTTTCCAAAATGGTCACGTGGTTTTACCTCGTAGTAGTAATGGGATAACCACATCGAAGAATGACATGACCACATCAAATACTGAAACAAATACATTATGTAGTGTAAAATCGTCAAATTTTGAAACATCATTACGTAATGTTTAAGCCATATAAAGAATTGACAAATCATTATTACGAAATAACAAAACCACATTATGTAATGAAACAACTACATTACGTTATGTCACATACACATCAAGTAATGTTAAAACCACATTGCCTAATTACATAACCACATCAAATAATGATGAAACAACATCGAGTAATGACAGAACCATATTAAGTAATGACAAAACTATATCAAGTCAATACGAAACCATATCATGTAATATCGAAATATCATTATGTAATGACTATTCCATATTGAGTTATATCAAAACATCATTACGTAATGTCAAAACCATATTATGTAAAGACAAACTATCATCAAGTAATAATAGAACAACATAACGTAATATCAGAGTTCCACATAAGACAGCTGTGGCGTTCCATACTATGATGGTCTATTTTCAATAGAAAAATATGCATTTTTAAATATTTCTGCATCAGAGACGATGGCATCCTTACGTCAGACGGATGTTTTTTTTATGAACATAGTTTATCGCGCAAACATTTCCTTGTTATAATTATTCGCTCTAGAGTCCCTGAGTTCGCCCCCGGTTTTGAATAGGGTTCATGTTACTCACTCAGTCTTTACCAAACCTTTAAACAGACTTATTCAGAAGGGATATAGTTACGATACTGTTGTCAGGTCATTAAAGATGGCATATTTTGTTATTACTATTGATTAACTCATAGGGTCTTTGCATCGGAAATAACACATTTATTCTAAAAGCAGTTGTTGGCATGATACGGGTTATGATCTTCTCATATATTTTATGATGGCATGATACTAAACCCCTAACGGGAGGGATTGTGCTTGATTTTCATATGATGAAGACATAATCTTTCAATCAGTTTAATTGAGGTCTGGAGCTGGCATGTCAGTAACTGCTAGTAGTCCTTTGTTAATTTATGTATCATTGTCATTTTGCTTAGTTTCTTTCGTTACCTATTCTGACATCGGACTCGGACTTCTTTTAAACTGAGATTTACTGTGCGTATCGCTGTGTGTTTGTTTATTCTACATTGGCTAGAGGTATAGGGGGAGGGTTGAGAACTCACAAAACATGTTTAACCCCGCCGCATTTTTGCGCCTGTCCCAAGTCAGGAGCCTCTGGCCTTTGTTAGTCTTGTATGTTTTTTTAATTTTAGTTCATTTATATGTTTTGGAGTTTAGTATGACGTCCATTTTCACTGAACTAGTATACATTTTTGTTTAGGGGCCAGCTGAAGCCCGCCTCCGTCTTTCTGTTGGTGTTCTAAATTCAGCTTTGCAGCTGACATTCTTTTCAATACATGAAAATGATGCGCACATGTGCAATCATCTCCAACTGATGGCGCATGCATTCGCATTCGGTTGATGTCGAATTATTGGCTTGCCAGACAATATTGTATCAGCGAAGTTTTGATATTAAACATTTGAAAGCACCCACAATTTGTCTAGTAACATTAGTATGTCTTAGATAAATGTATTAATATAAATTTTCATTTTTACAGCTGCGTTCAATGGACATTATTTTAACTTTCTTTTTTCTTCCATACAGTGTAACCGTAGATTTGTTTACATCGGATATTACTTTCTCTAAAGGATTCCCCATTCTTAGTCAAAAGTGAAACTATATTTTCTTGTCTCCAAACCCCTGAGTCATATATCATTCACAGCATCATAGTTTCTCTATATTAGCTTAAAATACCGAAAGAATATTGTATTTTTTGTTAAAGAAATTAAATCCTACATCATTTATATATACATATGTATTATTGACCTACATACTTACATTACGTCTAACAACAAATGATCTCACGTATTTATGTATACATCTATTGAAATATAGTGTCTTTAAACCGTACCTCAGGTAAATAGAACATACTATTTTCGGAAGTTCTCTTATAAATATGATAGTCTATAAAACCTATTCGAAAATAGTCTCGGTTACCCAGACGCTTGAATTTTATAAATCAAACGTCTGGGTTATCGCAACATGCAATGGTAAAAAATCTTATGTCAGATTTCTGTCAGAGATTCGGAACAATTTGGATTATTCCTGGACCTATGAAGACTAACGATAGTATCCGAAATGATATGTTGCCCAACATCCAAAATGGCAGCCTCCATGAGTGCTTGGTTTTATCGACTTCAAGCAAAGAAAAAGAACATCAACATGCAGTTAGCACATACGTGTTAAATGGTCATGGTTTCATTAGTGTGTTGTCAATAGAAAAGGGGTTCCTGGAACCAAATATAATGAATCATTTTGGGGGTCGTTCCCAACCAGTACACTAGTCAATAGTCCAAATAATTATGATGCCTTGAAGGTTTATCTTAATATAATATTTTTTTTTGCTTTGATGCCATAAATATAGGATTAGGCTAGTCCAAATAACTATGACGTCTTGAAAGGCTTTTTGATCTTTTTTCTTTGGTGCCTTCCTTCGCTAAACATTATTTTACATTAATTTGTATGGAGCTTGTGTACCGTACTTGGTCTTCTGTTCAGTCAATCCCCTTTGATTTAAAAGCCTTTAAACTGTATTTGTTTGTTACCGTGGTAATACTATTTTAAACATTATCCGTTTATATGAATATAGCGCTGCAAGTATACAACAGCTGTACAAGGTTTTATTTGATTTGATTGTGACCGCAGACTTTATTATATGTAGTCAATTATTTACACAGATGATTCAGTATTTAATGTAATAATGAATATGTTTTATTTTGTAGAGCAAAGCAGTATTGCATCTGGAACTATTATACAAACTTAGTATAAAAGTCCTTGATGGCATTGATGTCAACTTTCTTCTTAGTAACTCATGATTTTATGTACTGTGCATATGTGTGAATTGTAGTCGTATGCCTTTATATAATATACTGAGTTGCACATCAATCAACAGAATTTCACCAGATTTTATTAGGCTGTGAATGGTTTAACAAAAAGAACAGGAAATTCTTATTTATTTGCATGCCCTTCAATTTAACATTATTCTACATATAGCCACATCAAGTGAGATGGTATTTGTTGACCTACCTTCTACTGTATTGTTATTCATTGCAATTTTTTTAAAACTTAAACTAGGACTTTAATTATAAATCCTCCAACAAAAAAGCCGACTAGAGGCTTGATAGACTTACTACATGTAATTTAGTTTACATGTACTACCGGTAGGTTATTACTTTTCCGAGTATATATAGTCAACTAATCTGAAATGTTTAGTTTCATATCAAAATAAAAGAGAGGCGAAAGATACCAAAGACACATTCAAACTTATAAATTGAAAATATACTGACAATGCCAAGGCAAATAAAGAAAAAGACCAAAAGACAAACAACAGTATTTCGGTACACAACAGAACGAAGAAAGCAACACAAACACAACCAAAAACTAAGGTTCACCACAGGTGATCCTGATGGGCTAACAGATCCTTCTCCACATGCGACACTAATTATGTTACTCCTATATTTGTTTTTATTTTCTGAGGAGTTACTTGTTTGTTTGGTCAAGTGTTTTGACTTATTTTTTCATTATCATAGTTCCTGATAGCCTTTTATGTATTATTACAATTTCCACGGTCTGCAACTAGATAGATAGCTGGGTAATTACAAATAAAGCCATAAAAGGCATGCTTTCAAATTAATTGGTTTTGTTTCCCCTTGACAGTCTGGAGCTTTTAGTTCAGTGGTTGTCGTTGGTTCATGTATGTCATTTTTGTAATTGGTTAATTATATTTTGTTATAAATTCGGCCTTCAATTTCTCAATTGAATTGTTCACATCATTTTAACATGACTGGGCCTTTAATAGCAGACTATATGATATGAGTTTTTCTCATCGTTGGAAACTACACAGTTGCCTATAATTGCTAACAGCCACTTTATTTGAACTTTGGTTGATAATTTTTCTCATTGGGAATCACCTCATTTCCTTATTTTTTACATGTTATATACTGGTAGTCCTTGTATGATTGTCAATTTTAGTTTATTTATATGTTTTTAAGTTTTGTATGCCGTCTGTTTTCACTGAACTAGTGCACATTTTTGTTTAGGGGCCAGCTGAAGCCTGCCTCAGGGTGCTGAATTTTCTCGCTGTTTTGAAGAAGCATTGGTGTCCTCTGGCTGTTTTCTTTTCTTTGGTTGGGTTGTTGTCTCTTTGACACTTCCCCATCTACATTCCCAATTTTATATATTCAAAACTCAAGTAGATTTTGTTATTCCTATCTGTCTTCTGACTGTCCAAAGTTGGCATTTGGAAAACTCCTAGATGGTCTTTTTGCCCATGACATAGACTGGAATGCCACTTATTTTCTTCATCATAATAACTGAACATACAGTACCTTAGAAATATGAGTTAGTTTTACATGATGTTTTTTTTGACATGTCAGAGCCTTTTAAAGCTTATGCTATGGATTTGGTTCATTGTTGAAGGTGACCTTTTAATTGAATCCACAATATTTGAACTCTATCGGATATAAGTCTCAGTGGCAATCATGTCATATCTCTATCTTACAATTTTAAGCGTGTAATGTAATGATTATTTTTCAGAATCAAATTAAGGTACACATGATAGTGCTCTTTCTTCATTATCTTTGGGTTTAGTATCAATTAAAATGCAAATTTTAAGATGATAAAAGTGTTTCTAGTTTCAAATGGTATTTTTGTTTATCCTTGATGATATAGATTGTAAAAATTAGTGGGTTAAAAACAATGAAAACTAAATAAAATAAAAAGGTACAGCAAAATTATTTTCATGGTCTTGTGATAAAGTGCTTAAATGTACTTTAAATTTTTCTGAGTCTGTAAAATAATCAATCAAATATTGATTTGTTATTATTTCTACTATAAATATCAAAACTTACTCCAGTCTAGGATTCAAATATTATCTTTTTCCTGATAATCCTATTAGATACAGAATTAAAGAAATGATATACATGTATTTAAAATAAACAAGAAACATTTATCATGTATATGGAAAGGAATATGTTTCTTAATTCACTAAAACACAATACTAATTATTTAAAAAGTACTTCCACTTCAATCAGCAATTGAAGTTTTTTTGTCATTTGTTTTTCAACATTCTACTCCAATATTAAAAAAACAATAAAGTCGTTCTAGAAAATCATACAACCCTAATATAAGAAATGCAATTTATTAAGAAATGAGAGGCATTGACGACCAAGATGAAAATTTTTCTGTGGACACTGTAATGTATTATCATAATACAATATGATATGGACATCAACCACAATTGTTGCACTAGTATTGTAAGCACAGTTGGTCTCATGGTGTCTACTCTTGTTTCTTGATTTCCTCACTAGTATCTGAAAAGCAAAAGTAAAAACTGTGGTAACTTATATTCAGAATTTCAGACTATACAACATTTTTTTGTTATAGATATCCTGAAGTGGCTAATTGTTATAACATGTATATGAGTGTTTTACACACACAATTGATGATAGAAATATTCATATTTTTAAGGGTTTTACTCACAATTCTGTACCCAAATATTAAGGGAATGTTATTATAAGTATAGATGTTTGACAAAATACTCAGAACTATACAACTATCCTGGTAATTGTTACTAGTTTATAGGAAACAGAAATATGTATAATTTATTTTCCTAAACCAAACTTTATATTTAATTTCATTGTGTAAATAATCTTTATTCTTTACCAAGTATGGCTAATTTACCAGCTTTGACAATGTTACAGAATGACATAGTTATGAACTTTTCAGATATTAGCAGTTTATGCTTACTCTTCCACAACACCTGGTGAAACCTGGGTTTTAAGCGGGTTTGCATTGTGTTTGTAGTCCATAAAATAACTCTTAAACAGAGAAACATCTCTTTTGATTTTCAACACACCTATCTCATGCATTTATTTCAATTTGTCTGGTTTTGTGCATTGTTTTTTTTAGTCTTCTGCTTTCTGACTCTCAATTTAAAATGTATATATATATGTACTGGTTGTAAAAAGGTCTTATTTTTGTTGGAGTAAATATCTGTAAGTGTTAACTTAATTATCTTAGTATATCAAAAATTTACAGGATATCAAGCACAACAAGACGAGGCTATATTTAACCAAAATCTGGGTATAATCCATTATTATATTTTACTAAACTAGCATAGCATCACTGTACATTTTATTCCTATTCATTATAGGGTAACAGCTGATAGAATCCAATTGAGAATTTCACTTACATTATCATTGCATTTTAACACCACCCTACATAGTAACTTTGGATCTCTAAGTGTCTTCCCTGGTCCCAATATGCATGCATGTATCTATTATTCTATCATCAGCATGATAAGTTTATCTTATTGAAAAGCCTTTAAAACAATATGTGTTACCTGTTAGATTAATTTGACATGTCACCATCGTCAGACCTGTTGTTTTTTGCTTCTTCCAAGATGAAATACAAAATGTACTTGTATTGGATAAGAAAGTCTTACTGAAATATAATTTGCCTTAATTTAATAACATGCATTTTTTATGAGGTCAATATATATATATCTACCAGACTATAAATTTTGCAAAGCTAAGAAACAAGTTCAAGTCGATATGCAAGGTTCAAAAACATTTAGTCATACATGTACCGGTATCTGTTTTGGAATAAAACCAAAGAAATTATATTTTCTTATTGGCAATTCATGTCCTATTTATTAAAATTACATTTTTTTTAAATTAAAACAAACCATTTGTACAAGATATTCAAGATGTATTTCATATGATAAAAAAAGTTGCTTAGAAACAGAAGTAAGCTTACATATATATATATGTCTGATGAACATGTCAGTAACTGCTAGTCATGCTAGTAGTCCTTTGTTAATAATTTAAGTATC